AGATTTTTCCAAATGTAATATAAAGTCCAAATTGATTGCAGCCAAACACAAATTTGGTCAAATATTTAATGCACTTTATTAAGGTGTGAATAAGACTTTAAAGCTTTGTTTCAGCTACAGCGTAGCTGAGTCTAGAGATGAGCCAGAACAGAGAGTGTCTTTGAACATGGTGTTTATTCCCAACAAAAACTGGGTGTTGTCAACTTGACTCTGACTCATGGCGACCTCATGTGTTCCAGAGTAGAACTGTGCTCCACAACATTTTCAGTGGCTGATGATTTTGGAAGTAGATTGCCAGCCTTTCCTCTGAGGTACTTCTGGGTGGGCTCCAACCTCTAGCCTTTTGGTTAGCAGCTGAATGTATGAACCATTTGGACCACGCAGAACCTCCTTACTCTCTATAGTATCATCTAAAATAATGAACATTTTTTTTCTTTTAGAAATGAGCAAATATTTGTCACTAAAAAATGACAAACTATACAAGGGAGCTAGTGTGGTTTCATCCCCCCAAGAGGCTAGCTAACTTGTATTAGATTGCTCCCAGGAACACACTGGACCATTTTCCTAAAACAAAGTATAGGAAGAAAGTCACTAGCCATTTTTTCTACCTCCAGTTGAGGTGGTGGAAGTAGTTTCTGACAGCCTTGCCAGAGAGTTTGTACCGTCCATGTTTTACAAAATGGTTAGGCAAGGTTTAGAATGAAAAATGCTTTATGCTTTCAGAATTAGTCAAGCTTTATATAATTTGGAGTTCCCTTATATGCAAGACTTTATAGGGAAATACTGGAGAGAAACCTGCTCTACATTATAGCTGAGAATGCATGCTCAGAAATGGATCAGGATTCAGCTTGGGCTGGATCATCAAAACCAGAGGATGATAAACATAGGCTACACAGGTGCTTTGCTGCTCTGACATGGTTCTCTGGGTATGTGCCTGGGAGAGCCACTCAAGGGAGTGGTAAGAGAAAAGGGGGCTACTTTAACGAGGGACTAAAGCTCTGGTAGCTTAGTGCCTAAGGCACTTGACCGCTAACCAAAAGGCTGCCGGTTCAAACCCACCAGCCACTCCTTGGAAGGAAGATGAGGCAATCTACTTCCGTAGTGATACAGCCTTGGAAACTCAAGGAGGGGTTGCTATGAGTCGGGTCTGACTCAACGGCACATAACAATAAACAACAACATGATTACTGTAATCTGCCCTATCCAATACTATAGCATCTGGACAAAAGATACACTTGTTGTGGGGAAAAAAAAAAGTATGTAAAACATAAAAATTTTAATATTGATTCATGTTGAAATGAGAATCATTTGTATGTTTTTTACTTTTTTAATGTGGCTACTCAAAATTTGACAGATGTGGCTGACATTTTCTAGCAGGCAGCACTATCTTATGCCCTTTTTCAGTGGTAGAATTATGGTTGTTTACTTTGTTTTCTGTAGTTTTCAAACTGAAAATAGGAGAAATAGACAATACTGTGTCTGTCTTTAAGGAAAAAAAAAATGTGTATATATATATATATAGAGAGAGAGAGAGAGAGAGAGAGATCATGGATTTTGAGGTCAGGCAAAAATGTGTCCTAGCTATTCCACTGGGATAACTAACCTTCTCTGAGCCTCAACTTCATCATCTGTAAAATGAGACAACAGTTCTGGTCTCACCAGGTGGGTGTCAGGAGAAATGCATGTGCAATTAACAGGGTGCTTAGCACAGAATTGACATAAATATCTCAAGACCTGTCAGATGCATTTTTAAAAAATCCTTGTCCATTTCCAAAATATAGTCCTTGTTCCCCTCACCACTGAAGCATCTCTGATGTGGTTCCCTGCTTTCTGCTAAGTATTCTGAGCTAGCACCCACTTACTTACTTTAGCTCATTTCCATCTTTGAGGAAAAATTCTATCCTGGCTAAACCTATAAAACAGTCTTCAACTCTTTATCTGCACCTATGGCTACCTCTGACCAGGATGCTGGATCTTATTTGTTACTGAATGCTACTTCACTTGATAAGATGAGCCATAAGGACAACTGACAGCAGGCATAGGAGGTGAAGTCAACTAGGAATAATACAGCATCCATACCCACTGCTGACTCATGGCGACAGAGTAAAACTTCCTCACAGGGTTTTCTTTGTAGTAATCTTTACAGAAACATATTACCAGGGCTGTCTTCCACAGTGCCTCTGGGTGGGTTCAAACCACCAAACTGTAGGTTAGTAGTCAAGGGCAAACCTTTTGCTCCACCCAGGGACAAGGGCTGGCTGAAAAAAAGAGATCAAGAAAACTAGAAGCAAACACAACACAGAAAATAAAACAATTTTACCAATCCTCTGCTCCTACCCCACAACACAGCTGCGTTTTCTCACTGCCTTGCCTCCCCGGGCTTGAAAGGCTGTGTTCAGCCTGTGATAAGTACATGTGGTTCTCATCACCTCTCTGGGTTTCCACTGCCTGAAGTACATACAGCCTCCCCTCATGTGTCACAGCACATATCAGAAACTATGGGCTCCATTTCCATATTCTGAGAAATAAGTCATCAGATGAAGATGGCTGCGCTTGTTCTTTGAAATTCAGCGACATAAAAGACGGGAAAAAATAAAATAATGAAAACTTTGTGAAGCAGGGTGGCTTCCCTTGGTATGGAAAGCATCATAGCTCCTTCACAATCAATGAGATGAACCTCTCAGTGAGAGCTGCATGGGATGGAAATGAGGAGCAATAATTGAGGGATGAACTTAGAATAGCACAGGTGCCTGGGAGCACCAGCACTTCTCAAAGCTGTGGGGAGAAAAAAACAAATCCCCTATTTTCTATGTAAGCTTTGATTTAAAAAGAAAAATCAGAATAATTTTGATGTTTGTCCCCATCCAGCAGCTGTAACTAGGTGATTCAGAATACACTCTTGACTTTTAGTGATTTTTTTTGCCTTTTCATCAGATCAGTATGTTACTTTCTCTATTTTATTTTTAGATTTAGTAAAGTTTTTTACATTAGCAAATGCAAAGCAAAGAAAAAATAAGCACATTGGTTTGAACTTCAAGGTTAGGCTGAGGTTTGATGGGATAAATCCCTGGGGATTAACAGGGGAGCAGCATTGCAGAGGCCCTTGTAGCTGACCGCTGGGATCTGTTGTTGGGGAGAGATGGGCCACAGCACACACCCAGGGCACCTCCTCCCCAAGCCAGGTATATTCAGGTGAGTGTGTGAGTGAGTGCAGGGGTGGCAACTGAGGATGCCTAAACACAGTTGTTTTTTTTTTTCCTGGAGCATCTATTAATGAAAATTTAACATTAATTGGAGGCAAGAAACGATCATTGCCAACCATCGTGTCCCTGTGGCTTCTTAGAAAATCAGAAGGTTTGAAAATGTGAATGAATTTTCCTTATGTTGTATTATTCAAGTTTTGGGAAGGGAGGGACGTTTTCTAAAAATCCAAAGCTCTGTTTTATCAGCTCTCCAAAAGAAAACTTACTTACATTTTGGTGTCTTGGCACTCAACCAAAACCAAACTCACTGTCATCAATTTGATTCCAACTCACAGAGAGCCCCTCTGGGTTTCCGAGATGGTAAATCTTTATGGAAGTAGATTGTCCAGTCTTCCTTCCTCAGAGTGGCTGGTGGGTTTGAACCACCGACTGTCTGGCTACTAGTCAAATGCCTTAGGCACTACACCAGCAGGGCATTCAACAGGAGGGAGCAAATGCTTTTCAGATCCCTCATCTGGCCCTCCTTGCTATTGTTGTTAGGTTTGTAGAAATACTAGTGATTGTATAAGTTGGAACTCAAACAAACATACGTGCAGTTGACTTTTGGCGCACATAGGGAAATCACAGAGGGGTCTCTTCTCTTCATTGGTGTGGGCTGCTGTGAGTCAGCTCCAGCCTTGTAGATAGAGTGAAACCTATGAGAGCTGGAACTAGTAGGGACTGCCTTGTTTTAGCAAAAAATGTTTGAATTTTCCTGCTCACACAGGTTCCGGCTTTCTAAGTTCCACTGCGTAGCGGAACAAAACATTGCTCAGTCTTGCACCATATTCACAATTGTTGGTATGTTTAAGTCATTGTTGCAGCCACTGTGTCAATCCATTTCATGGAGGGTTCCCTTGTTTTCACTGACCTCTACTTTACCAAACGTGATGTCTTTTTCTGGAGACTGGTCGGTCTTTCCTGACGATGTGTCCAAAGCAAGATGAAGTGTCATCATCCTCACTTCTAAGGAGCATTCTGGCTATACTTTCTTCTCCAGGGTCTGCTCTTTTCCTGGCCTACTGACCCCGTGGCTGTGCTGGGGAGGCAATAAGCACATTACTAGATGAAACTTAAGACCAAACTGAAGGAAGTTTTATATTTTCTGTTGCTAAAAGCATTTGAAAACAAACAGAGGTACCATTGCAGATATATACATAGATACAGTTGTGCCCTCCCAGCACATGTGTGTCCAAGAAGCATTCTTTGTGACAGGCTTTTCCTGGTCTTGTTTCCCCTGAAATTGAATGAGGCGTCAGTGCAATTAAATATGTTTCATCATCACCAAAGAGCAAATCAAAGTACTTCCCTTTGATTTGAAAATACCATAGGGTCTTCTTTATGTGGACAGTCTTTAAAATATAAATACTGTTTAATATGGCTATCCTGTATATATCTATTTCTTTGAGATGAAAAGATAAAACCAGATTTATGGACCACATAAAATGCTTCCTGGATACACAAACATCAATGAGAACATTTTTTAAATTAATAGGCATCAACAGGTATAAATAAACTGTCAAAAGCATTTAATGGTCTTTAACACAGCCAACTCCCCCAGCCCTGAAACAGTGTTAAATTCTTTTTTTGCTAGTGGCAAAAGATGCTGTCAAGCACAACATTGAGAAATTGGTACCCTTTCCTGGCCAGTAAGCACAGAACTGAGGGGCTAAACATTTTATGGGTTTTTCTCTTTTTTGCTTCTCATGTTGTTTCCTCTCTCCATCCTCTCCCCGCACCCCCCTTCTACCTGCTCAGGGCTGATCGTGGTGACGTTAGCTGTGTGCTGGATGCCAAACCAGATTCGCAGGATCCTGGCCGCGGCCAAACCCAAGCACGACTGGACCAAAGTCTATTTCCGGACGTACATGATCCTGCTGCCCTTCTCAGACATCTTCTTCTACCTTAGCTCTGTGGTCAACCCACTTCTGTACAATGTATCCTCACAGCAGTTCCGCAGCGTGTTCTGGCAGGTGCTGTGCTGTCACCTGACACTGCAGCACGCCAACCAAGAGAAGCAGCTGCGCACCTCGGCACAGAGTGCCCGCTCCGTCCGCCCACTGATCTTCACGTCTTCCTGGCGCTATTCATCTGCAAGGAGAACTAACAAGATTTTCTTGAGCACTTTTCAGAGTGAGGCCAAGGTGGACTCTAAGCCTGCACAACGGAGTCTCAATTCGCTAGAGCCCAACTCAGAGATGAAACTAGTGATGGATACTGCTGGAGCCAATTCTACTGCAGAGAGTGGTCTCCAGGAGCTGGAAGTGTGAGTGTCAAGTGAGGAAGCCTTGCATGGTAACCAGCCCGCCACCCCTGACAACATGAACCATAGCCCCATCAGGATTGGGAGGCTGGGGAAATTGGAAACGCAGGTCTACCTTAGTGGCTTCTGAGAGTGGATTCCAACAGCCTCATATTTTATCAATGAAGGTAGACTCCAGCTCTACTCCCTTCCTTCCTTCAAGTACACACTGAAAACTCAGACTGAATTTATTCAGAGCTTACAAAAATGTTTTTGACATTAAGCTCTTTCATTTTTTTTCAAGAGAACAAAAAAAGAAAGAGGACACAGACTCCTCTCCCTACCCAGAAGAAATCAGCTAGGGGGTCTCCTTCAGCAGTATACCAAGAAGTGGGCTAGTTTGAGGAGCAGGACAGTGGTGGGGAGCTCTGGCCTCAGGGCTGCAGCAGAACTGCCCCTTTTTTTGGGCCGGGGTCCGTTGCAGAGTGGGGTGTTGCAGCAGCTGATGCATACTGAGTTCAGTTTCCCTGGGGAACAGAAGGATTGGTACCCAGCAGAGGCAATGAGGCAGGCTGCGGATGATGCACACGACTTGCGGTACATGATTCCTGCAACACAGACCCAAAGAAGCTGGGTTAGTGTGCACAAAGACACGGACTCTTCCTTACTGCCCCAACAAGTCTAGCGACTGGGTGGAACTAGAGAAGTGCTCTGGGGTATTTTGTGGAGGCCTCTAAAATAACACAACATATATGGGGAAGGAAGTAGTCATCAACTCACCACTTTGGACAAAGTTGTTCCATAAGCTATTCTGGGTGCCAGTACCAGTGAATAAAAGAGCTTTTAAGATCAATGTCTAGTTGTATAAGCCAGAGTTCACACTAGACACAGCACTTTTAGAGTATCTCTTTCTTTGGTTCCTACTCTAATGCCAGAGAGGGACCACAGATGCATTTCTAGATTGTATATCTATTATGACACCATGTAAGTTAAGTGACTACAGAGAGTTGCTCTTAGCTATGTGTTTGGGAATATTTCCAAATATAACGAGGTCCAAATTCCAACCAGAATAAATTAGATCCCTTCGGAAGTGCCTTAATCTCTCCCAAGTTTGAAAAGTCTACTGGGTTTGGGTGAAAAAGGCCTGGCTGACAGTCATCAATACCACACATTGATGTTGGGCACATAAGAAAGCCTTTCCCTAAGATTGGAAGACTACTTAACATCACTCAAAATCAAAACCGCATCACTTGCTGTTGATTCTGATTCAGTGACCATGTGTTGCAGAGTAGAACTGCTCTATAGGATTTTCAAGGCTGTGACCTTTTGTAAACAGATCACCAGGTCTTTCTTCCAAGACACCTCAGGCTGGATTCAAATCACCAACCTTTTGGCTAGTAGTTGAGCACTTAACCATTTGTGCCACCCAGAAACTCCCTGTCATCAAATGAGGGTGTCTTAAATTATCATTTGCATTCTTAAAGCTGGAAATTTACTCTATTCAAATAATAGCTACTTAGTTAAATAGCAACAACAATGGACTCAAACATACCAACAACAAGCTTACTTAAAAGTGTTTCCTGTATGCCAGGTACTATTCTAAAGGCTATAGTGTACTAGCTTATTTACTATCTGGAAGTAGCAGGGGCAGATCTGTGTCCAAGTGTGAGCCCTCAACCTGGTGTTCATGACACCTCAAATAAGACTATCTAAAGGGGATTGTTAAGAACGCCATTAAAAAGGAGTATTTGCTGGACTCCACGAAGCAGAAGAAAGAAAGAGGTGTGGTTCTAGGAACTTAAAGGATTTAGTCTATTGGCTGACTGCCCCAGACCAGTGTACTTTGAGGAAGCACAGGGACAAATGAGTGCTGGAATGAACCATGTGAAAGCTCAGAGCAGATGTCAGCCACTGTGAGCCTCCCACATTGGAAGTCTAAGTTTTGGTGACTACACTAGTGATGTCTTGAGTGAGATGTGATTAAATAGGTTCCTAATCTCTGATGGCACAATGTATAAGGCATTTGACTGCTAACCAAAAGACTGGCACTTCAAACCCACCAGCTGATCCATGGAAGCAAGATGGAGCAATTTACTTCTATAAAGATGTATAGCCTTGGAAACCCAATAGGGGTTGCTATGAGTTGGAATTGACTCAGTGGCAGTGAGTTTAGTTTTATGGTTTAATCAGATGGAAGTAAATATGGACCCAAATGACATCGAGGTAAATGATGAGCAACTGGCTGTGTTGGGGTATGGAGGGTGTAGCTTTGAAGATATTCAAGAAAAACAAGGAAAAACATGTTCAAATTCTAAACTGTTAGCACTGGTAGAGGAAGCAGGCAGGAGGTATTGTACTAATAGTAACAAGGAAATTCAAGATTATAGAGGGCTTTGAGAAAAGATCAAGAACCAGATGTGTACAGAATATGATTCAGACTGGAAGGAAATAAGGTGTGTTGCTCAGTGGGACAGGCCCAATGGGGACTTAGAATTGCTTCCCAGTGCTATCACTTACATGCTTATAAGGATGAATTCCAAGTAGATCTAAGATTTAAATGTTAAACTAAAAAATGTTAAACTAAAACCACAGAAGTCCTAAAAGAAACTTTGGAACCTTGGAAATTTCTTTTATAATTTAACATCAGTGAAGTTTTTTCTATAACACAACACCCAAAATGCCATTAAAGGAAAGATTGATGAATTAGACTATACAAAAATGAAAAGAAAAATCTCTGCCTGGTAAAAATCACTATAAGTAAGACAAATGAAATATTGGGAAAAATGTTAGCAACTCAAATTACAAAGAGCAAATGTCCTTAATAGGTAAAAAGGTCCTATAAATCAGGAAGAAAAGAATAACAACCCATTAGAAAGATGAGGAAAGCAAATGAACAAGACAGTTCAGAGAAAGGGAAATATAAAGGTCTTTGAAGTACATGAAAAGATGCTCAACCTCACTAATAATAAAGAGAAATGCAAATTAAAACTCTACTTGTTAGTAAGTCTTGAGAAACAGACCTTCTCATACACTGTCAGTTAAGAGTATAAATCTGTATGAATTTTAGAAGACAAGGCAAAATTTATTCTATATGCTTACACACAAGCAAAATGACTATATTCAAGGTTATTAATTGCAGAGTGGTCTGTAGTAGCAAGAGAAGGGACAATTACACTGTCTATCAGTAGGAGACTGGTTGAATACTTGGTGAATCATCCACACAATGGAATGCTATGCAGCAATAAATTAATGAGGATAAGCACCAGAATATTTTGTTAAAAACAATATATGTGCAGGCCTTTTTTCCTTCTCTCCAACACCCTCCTTCTTATAATGTTTCAAACATAGTTCTAGGAGCTTTACAAGTATCAACTCATTTAATCTTCAAAACAACTCTTTGCAAATGGAGAAACTGAGGCAGAAAACTAATTTGCTTAGGGGCCACACAGGTAACGTGATACAGCTGGGATTTGAACCTGGGAAGCCTGGCTTTAGAATTTATGCTCTTAATCACTCTATTAACTGCATTCTATGGTTTAACATGCTTCCACTTTTGGGGGGAAATAGTGAAAATTAAACACACTGTGTGGAAAATCAAATCGTACTGCACTACCACCCAATGAAATAATCAAATCAGTCTCAAATCAATGCAATCTATTCCAGTTCAACTGCACATCAACTGTCCATACAGCACTTCTTCCTCTTACCCTAACCACCAGAGCTAGGTCAGATCTCAAGTTAAAGGACACAGTCCTCCAGACTGTGAAGTCTGCTTAAGACTTCAGATGCCAGCCGTTTAAGCTTGGGGTCGTCAAGGAACACCTCATTTCTGACATGCTGGATCCCACTAATCCCTTGAGTTCAATAACTCACTAGAATGACTCACAGAGCTCACAAAAAAGCACTATACTTACGATTACAGTTTTACGTGGCAAAAAGTATATAAAGTAAAGAGATGCAGAGGGTGAGGTTGAAGAGAGTTGCCAAAACAGAACTTCCACATCCAAATGGGGATACACTACCCTCCTACCTGCCATCAACCAGGAAGCCCATGGACCTTCCATGTCCAGACATTTTATTGGGGCCTCTGTAGTAGGCAATATTGACTGAATCATGCCCCCTCCCAAGATCAGCTGGTATCACATGGTGGGTCTCTCTGGCCTGACTAGCTTCTACCTGAGCATAACCTGTCAGGTTAGGTGTGGTCTAGAGCCCTTGTTAGAGGCACTTCAATCACTAGGGAAAGTCCAAGGTTTTAGAGTTTCCCCCCTCAGGAACCAAGGACAAATAACAAATTCTATGAATAAACTTAATTGTAATCCTCCCATACATATTTCTTGTATATATATTCATAAAATATTTCTGGAAGAATATATAAGAAAGAGATCATGGTGGTTGTCTCTAGGTATGGGTACCAGGGAACCACAGGATAAAGGCCAGTTGCTGTGGAGTTGATATAAAATAAAACAAATATACACCCCTTTTGTTCATTTGAAGTTAGAACCATGAGAATGAAGCACTTTTTTTTTAACTTGAAATCAACATTGACCCCATAGAACCTTTTATCAAATGATTTCTCTTTCCAAGTGTTGCACAAGTCCCTTCTAGCTGTGTCTACCAAAGGGTCCCTGGGAATGAACACACCCTCAAGAAGACAGCCATCCACAAAGGGTTGAGCCAAAACTCAAGTCTCAGGATTAAGGGAAGTACTACTTGTGTCCATCTGATTTTCCTTTAACCCAGATGGCCCCCATGAGCTAAGGTGAGCCTGTCAGAGAAGGAACTATGGAAAAAAAAAAAACAGAATGAGCCCCCTTATAGACTACTGGTGAGAGTACAAACTGAAATAAGAGCAAGTTAGAAGGATCTATAAAAATTAAAAATGTACAAATCCAAAAGGTCTGTATTTCAATATTTATTCTTCAAAAGAAAACACACATCCTTTATAGGAAAAGGGTACATTTAAACTACAGGACATTAAGCAGTTTAAAAGGAAAGTGCAGGGCTCTAAACTGTTCTGGAAGAGTCCCTAAGAGTGAAAAAATGAAGTTCCAGGATAGTGTCTAAGTATTCATCTATGGTGGTTCAGGGGAAGAATTCTCACCTTCCATATGGGAAACCAGGGATCAATTCCCAGACAATGCACCTGATATGCAACCACCACTCATCTCTCAGGGGGGCTTGTGTGTTATGATGCTGAACTAGTTTCAGCAGAGTTTCCAAACTAAGATGGACTAGGAAGAAAGGCCTGGCAATCTGCTTTCAAAATCAGCCAATAAAAACTTATGGACAGACAGTCTGGGAAGATGGCAGCATAAAGAAACCATCGTTCTGACCCTTCTCCACAAATAAAACAGGAAATACAAGAAGATGGTACCCAGCCTTGAGGGACTGAGTTGGGGAAGAGAGGAAAGCAATAGGGAACTTCAGACAGACAAGAATTGAAACAAACAGTCACACATGGTAGGAAAATTGCTTCTCCCATTTTCCCTCCCATTCCCTCTCCCCCAGCTGTGAACTGATGTAATGGCCCCAGAAAGAGTCCATTTCCCTAAACACAATGGCCCCTGCCTGTACAAAGAGACAGGACCACAGATTTCTACCGCAA